GCCTAGCCTCACAGCAACCTCAAAACTCCTGGGGCTCAAGCGATCTCTCTGCCTCAGCTCCCGAGTAGCTGGGACTACAGGCATGTGCCACCAAGCCCGGCTAATTTTTCTCTATATATTATGTTAGCCAATTAATTTCTTTCTATTAATAGTAGGAGACAGGATCTCGCTCTTGCTCAGGCTGCGTTTCGAACTCCTAACCTTGAGCAATCTCGCCCGCCTCGGCCTCCCAGAGTGCTAGGATTACAGGCGTGAGCCACCACACCCCGGCTAGTCTGAATACTTTAAAAAAAAAAAAAGAAAGAAAGAAAGAGGCTGAGTGCGGTGGCTCATGCCTGTAATCCTAGCACTCTGGGAGGCCGAAGGTGGGCGGATTGCTCGAGGTCAGGAGTTGGAAACCAGCCTGAGCAAGAGCAAGACCCCGCTCTCTACTATAAGTAGAAAGGAATCAATTGGCCAACTAATATAGAAAAATTAGCGGGCATGGTGGCGCATGCCTGTAGTCCCAGCTACTCGGGAGGCTGAGGCAGGAGGATTGCTTGATCCCAGTAGATTGAGGTTGCTGTGAGCTAGGCTGACGCCAGGGCACTCACTCTAGCTGGGCAACAAAGTGACACTCTGTCTCAAAAAAAAAAAAGATAAATAAAAAAAAAAAATAAACGCCCATGCCATGTGTGTCATGTCAATCCTCACAACAATGCCCCAACAGAGGGACTGCTGCTCATGTCATTTTAGGAAAGAGGACACTTTTAACAGAATGTGGGGGAGGATTTTTTAGGGGGAGGATATTTTAGACTTTGCTCAGTAGGTCATGGGGACGCCCCAGAGCAAGGTCGGCACTATTGACATTTGGGCCCAAATAGTTCTCCGTGGTAGGGCACCGTCCTATGCACTGACGGTGGCGTGTCTCGCAGCATCCCAGGGCTCTACCCACGAGATGCCAGTTGCACCCCTCCCCCTCAGTGTGACAAACTAAATGTCCCCAGACAGTGCCAAGTGTCTTTGAAGGGAAATTGAGAACCAGCATGGTTGTGATTTTTGAACAGTGGAGAGATGCAATACGTACCTGGGGTGGAGTCATTTCTCTGGGAACCCAGAAAGGCAGGTGTGAAATGGGACCCTGCACACTGGGAGTTTAGAACCCTGTTGCCCCCCTTCCATGATGTGCACTTGCTCAACATCCGTCACCCCCGCCATGCCAGGCTGCTTGGAGGAAGACCAGTGTGTTGGCTCCTGGGTACAAATGACTTTTCCGATTTTTTTTCCCCCATCTTTGGGGAAGGGCTCAAAGGTTGTTGTCTTCTAGGAGCCAGGGCTGCCACCAAACCTCGCTTTGGCACATACAGGGCGGGGACAGCTCAGACGAGTTGATTTAATCACGTGTGCTGTGTAGGAGTGAGAACCTCGGTCTCCAGTCTTCTAAATCAGGCTCTCTCCTCTCTTCATGAATATGAGTAATTGCAGAAGTAGAATTTGAATCCACACCTACAACTCAATCTGCCATTCCTTTTCCAGCATCCTGGACAGCTGTAGTGGCACCAGATGAATTCTAGACTCCCAAGGCAGCAGGTGACATGCCCGGCCCTCAGAAGAGTTCAGGTAAGTGAAGATTCTAGGCTTTTCATTCATTTGTAGCCTTGTGCATCCTTCTTTGGACTTTTGTTCACTTAGCCATCACACACTGAGTGTCCGCTGATCACGAGGCACTGTGCTAGCACCTAGAGTTTAAAAATGAGCAAGACATGGTACCTGTCCCCAGAAACTCTTCCAAGATCATCATCTCCTGTTATCTGTGAACATGAACCTGACTATGTTACTCTCACCTATTTAAAAAACTGGGCTGTGTTCACCTTTTACCTATGATCAATAATGCCACTAAGAACATTCTTGTACAGGTTTTTGTTTGAATATCTGCATTCATTCTTTTGGGCATACACCCGGGAGCGGAATTGCTGGATCATGTGGTCGTGGTAATTGTGTTCATCTTGTTAAGGAGACTTGATTTTGAAGGTAGAAGCTTTGCTGAGAAGAGAGAATGAGATGAGTCAAAGATGATTCATGAATTTTTGAGCAGGCTGGGCGAGGTGGCTCACGCCTGTAATCCTAGCACTCTGGGAGGTGGAGGTGGGCAGATTGCTCGAGGTCAGGAGTTCAAAATCAGCCTGAGCAAGAGCGAGACCCCCGTCTCTACTATAAATAGAAAAAATTAATTGGCCAACAAATATATATAGGAAAAATTAGCTGGGCATGGTGGCACATGCCTATAGTTCCAGCCACTTGGGAGGCTGAGGCAGGAGGATTGCTTGAGCCCAGGAGTTTGAGGTTGCTGTGAGCTAGGCCGACGCCATGGCACTCACTCTAGCCTGGGCAACAAAGCAAGACTCTGTCTCAAAAAAAAAAAAAAAAAAAAAAAAGG